CCAACACCCACAGGGTGGTATCGTCGGCTGCCCTTCTCAGGACCTTCCACGCGAGGATCCGCGCGCGTCCTCGTGTCCTTCGATTTGTCGCAGCCAAGATATACCTGTGCGGCCTTCCAACGAAAATAGACCTTCGTCCTCCGTTCGTTTCTCGGTCGAACTGCGCCGATTTTTTTTTTTACGCACCACCTTTTGTTCGCGCCGTTTGCCCTCTCCACTTTCATCGAAATTGCGGATAATTCATCGCGGTGCGGGCGAGATCGATCGACCGCGCCGCCTTTCCAGACGTTAAAGACGCGTTCTTACTATGCCAGGATAGAGAGCAGACTCGTTTCATCGACGAGCGACCTTTCTCTTTGGAACAGACGCTTTTTCGCGAAATTGCCGGACAGATTGCGTAATCGTCTCAATTTTATCGATCCCTGCACCCCTTTTACATTGCGACTTCGTTTTCCTAGTTGGATCGATTGCCTCGAATACCGACAGTTACTCGTCTTTTACCGTCCTTTCGTCGCGTTCTGACCTCTCTTCTCTGAAGGGCGTAAAACTGGCTTCGAAAGGTTTTCAGGAAACGCGGCGAGATAAATTTCGTTGACCCGTGGAAAAATCGTCCCGCTATCTACTTAACGAAGTTGATTAATCGCGAGATATTAAGGAGGAACAGTCGTCCCGATTACGATACCGTGCGCCTTTGTTCGGTAATATCTTAACGAGGACTAGCGTAACTCGTTCCTCGAGGCGAGGCGAAAGGAAACGCGGAAGAGTTTCGATGAAAACCTCTCTGCCCTCTTCGAACGATCTGCTACAAGTTCGTACATGATCAACCATTTAAGAATCTTTATTGTTACATAGAACGAAGGAAAAGGAGGAACGTATAATCTTGTAACGGTATACATACAGATATTTTATTCGTGAGAATTTCATAATTGCAACACAACTATCGTATAAACAAACTATATTTGCGTGTACTTTTAGGATTACGCGGATCTCTAACTCGCATAACTCGATCTTTTCTCGCGCAAAAATTTTCTAAAACTGTCGATCTACCTCTTCGTCTTCGTAGATCGTGTAGTAGGACATTTTATTGCTTTCAACGAGCACAGTTAGAAATTAATCGTAATCATTACTAGTAGTAGTTATACTAGTCACTCGGAACTATTAATCGGATTCTAACTTGCACGCTACAGATATATTTGATTCCATCTTTACTCACAACGCCATAGTTGGTCCAATCTATACAGTTACGTAAGAAAATATCGGAAGTACTATTTTCGTTTCCCAAGTCTGATCGTATTAACACTATCGCGGAGCTAATCGATGATCGGCACTAACGACTCTAATAAATATAACCTGACGATCGGGAGAAAGGTTCTCGGGAAAACGTCTAATAGTAACAGAAGGTGATGGAAAGCTAAAGTCGTTGCCATCTTTTCAGAAAATATTACGTAACAAATTATTTAGTACAATCCGAAACTCGTCGATCAATCGATAACCAATTGCTGGAATTAAACCTAAAGCATCAAAATTACGCTCGTTTGCTCGAAGGAACGATACTCTCTAGCTTTTAGGCTTCTTTTCCTCCGTAGTATCCTCGACCTCTATGTTGTCCGCGTTCACCACCTTGATCCGATTCGTAGGCTTCGGTCTCATCAGGATAAACGGCAACTCCGCTGACAATTCCCCGCCCAGTGCTCCAAGATACAGCTTCACCTTGACGGCGTAAGAAACCACGATGCCGAAGGAATCGCGAACATCCGGCGAGGTGAGCAGAGTGCTCGATGCTAGCTCGCTCTCTTCTCTCTTCAATCTCCCGTCCAAAGCGATTCCCCTGCGATGCTTGTTGTTCTCCAGCTGTGGTTTCAGGTACAGTACTTTGGTCAAGTTCGAGCCCGGATTAATCGGGCAACCATCTTGCGTCTCCACCGCGTCGATCACCGTCCTGAACTGGCCGTTCTGGAAGATCACCACGTCGATACCTTGCTGCACCAGCGCCTTCATCTTCTTCACGACCTTGTTGCTATTGTTCCTCACGCACACGTTTACGGCTATCCTTTCTCCGTGATGATACAATTGTTTGTCCAGGGTCACCTCCAGCTCGAGATCTCCTGGACTCAAGAGGAAGTCCTTGCGAACGACGGTGCACGGCTGGCGTCCCTGTTTCGTTGGCGCGTATTGGATCTTCCTGATGCCCATCGATACGGTGCTCCTTTTGTGGGTGATGTCTGTCTCCACCTCGCCAGAATAGATTTTCACGTAGTAGCTGACTCCGCAAGGTTCGCCCGTCTCGTCCTCGCCGGGTTGCAGGGTCACGCTGGACGGTGCACTCTGAGGGAACTTGAAGGTAAACGGTATGGCGTTCGGTCCCAGTTTCTTCAGGAGTCTATCTTGCAGTTTGGTCAGATTGTCCTCCATCTTCTTGGTTGCCGGAAACAGTTGCTCGGAGATCAAGTAGAGGTCCTTTTGGAAATTTAGACCCATCACTTCGTCCTCTTCCCGGCCATAGCGGAAACTGCAGACCAGTTGTCCCCAGACTTTTCTACCGGTGTCCACGTAATCTTGGTCCAGCAAAATTACACCGTCCACCGGCTCGATTCCTGACAAGTAATCGATGTAGTCTCTCTTGCCCAGATAGAGGGCGATCTTGCCGTTCGGGGAGCATTTCTTGAACACCTTGAAGTTCACCACCATTTCGAGTACGTCGATCAGCGTCCTCCGATCGTGCTACCGTTCTCGACGACTGGAACCTAAGGGAGAACAACTCCGTTATATATGCGAATACTGCTGCCATGACGTCAGGATCTTTCAAGGGTTTCCGAATCCATTCAGCGTCGCGGATAAACGAACCTCTTTCGCTTCGTGTCGTCGCTAACCTTTTAGCGTTCACCCTATAGCTTGTTTTCTTAAACGCAACAACCAACACGATATATTATGGAATGCTAGCTGATCGATGATTTTCGCGGGCTTCGTCTTGCTATTATAATCTCTTCGGGATCGTGTTTATTATTTGTCCGAAAGCTTCAACCTCTTCGCGAAAGGGCGACTGTGTCGCGACGCGTAAGCCATTTAGAACAGACGATACTGGGTTTCGTTAATATCGCTAATCGCGTATTAGAGACCTTTCCGCAAAGAATGGAGCTATTCTTCTATGGCATTCCTGCTACGATTCGTTTCCCTTAAATTTCAAATTTTCCCAAGTACTGATTATTTGTTGAGAAAAAACAAACTTAGTCCTCGTACTTAGCAAACTGTACGAATTTATTTCTCTTCGATTTCGGGAGCCATCGAGAGCGCCGAAGGCGAGCGAAGCTCTTATACTTGACTTTGCAACTCCTTTGTCCGCGTTTTTCTTTTACACCACTCAATCAATTCTCGTCAAATTTTGCATTCACATGCGTATGTACAACCAGATGGACATAGAAAAAAAAAATTTTAATCGGACTTGCCACGAACGAATAATCACCGAAAAAAATAATCCTAAAAAGTGAGGGTCCGAACACGCATATTAGGAAAATAAAAAAATGAATATTTCGGCACTTTGACGACGTAGTATGGTTCTTGAGGCATTTAGAAACAAATTTCTATTAGGGTTTGATGCGTTTTGATGCCTAATAAAGGCAGGAAATCAATTTTTGTCGAATTCGGTCGAAAACGGTACAGGTGGCGCCATCTAGCGGCGAGCGGCGGAACTACGAAAAACTAAAATTTCGATTTTCTCGAAAACTAGGG